TTCCTTCCCTTTCCCTGCCTTGCGTCTTATAGATCTGGTTAAGGAATTACTGCCTCGTTGGTCCGGAGCCTTTTACGTGGGCGTCGGATTAGGGGCGGAAGGGGGGGGGGGGCAAACCAGGGGAGGCGAGGCGGTCTTACTTGTGCTAATTACTTTCCGAATCGAATCGCTTCTGCCCCTCCTGCCGCTTGCTCTCGTTCGTTTGCCCGTTCGCGTGGCTGCTTGGGGCGTCTTTTTTCTTTCCGCTTGAGGAGAAATGGCTATTTACGCTATTTCCCCCCTCTACCTTCCTCTTCCTCTTCTCTTTCCTCATCTCCTCTTTTCTTCCTCGTCTCTTCCCGTCCCTCCTCTCGTTTCCTCCTCTTTTTTTCTCTTCTATCTTATCTTATGTTCTCTCCTCCCTCTCCTAGTCTCCCTTCCCCTCCTCCTCCTCGCCTCCCTAGTCTCCCCCTTCCCCTCTCCTCCCTCGCCTCCCTAGTCTCCCCTTCCCTCTCCTCCCTCGCCTCCCTAGTCTCCCTTCCCTCTCCTCCCTCGCCTCCCTAGTCTCCCTTCCCCTCCTCCTCTCCTCCCTAGCTCCCCTTCCCCTCTCCTCCCTCGCCTCCTAGTCTCCTTCCCTCTCCCTCCCTCCCTAGTCTCCCCTTCCCCTCTCCTCCCTCGCCTCCCTAGTCTCCCCCTTCCCCTCTCCTCCCTCGCCTCCCTAGTCTCCCCCTTCCCTCTCCCTCCTCGCCTCCCCCCTAGTCTCCCCCTTCCCCCTCCCCTCTCCCTCTCGCCTCCCTAGTCTCCCCCCTTCCTCTCCTCCCTCGCCTCCCTAGTCTCCCCTTCCCTCTCCTCCCTCGCCTCCCTAGTCTCCCCCTTCCCCTCTCCTTCCCTCGCCTCCCTAGTCCCCTTCCCTCTCCTCCCTCGCCTCCCTAGTCTCCCCCTCCTCTCTCCCTAGTCTCCCTTCCCCTCTCCTCCCTCGCCTCCCTAGTCTCCCCTTCCCCTCTCCTCCTCGCCTCCCTAGTCTCCTCCCTATCCCTCCTCCTCCTCGCCTCCCTAGTCTCCCCCTTCCCCTCTCCTCCCTCGCCTCCCTAGTCTCCCCCTTCCCCTCTCCTCCCTCGCCTCCCTAGTCTCCCCCTTCCTCCCTCGGAGACTGGCAGCCTCCTCAGCCGACCCGTCGCGCGGACGCGAACCGAACTCGCGTGTTTCGGCCGCGATCGGCACGGGGTGAAGGGGGGGGGGGCAGCGAAGTAGGATGCGAGAGATGCCAAAGGTAATTAGCTTTCGGAGCGGGTCATTAACCTGTTTGGCGGAAGAGAGTCGAAAGGGCGCTTCGGGGAGAAGAGACCGGGGAAAGGGTTGAGGGAAGGGGAGAGAGAGGGTTGTGAAAGGGGGAGGCTGTGTGGAAAGGCTGATGTGTATATGTACAGTCAAACTATTTATCTATCTGTCCATCCATCCACCCATCTATCTATCTATCTATCTATCTATCTATCTATCTATCTATCTGTCCTCTCTTCTCTTTCTGTCTCTCCATCCATCCATCCACCATTCGTCTGTCCATCTATCCACCTCTCGTGTCGTTATATCTATCCAACTACCCATCTATCAGTTGATTTGTCTCTGCGCCAGCCTCTGCATGCCTACCCGTCTGCCTGCGTGCGTCTCTGTGTTCCCGGCATGATTGCGCCTGTGCCTGAGTGAAGGGAAGGGGAAGGAGGATCTCCCGCTGAAAAGACCCAAGACCTGAAGGAATCGAGGGGGTCGGGTCCTGTGTGGTGTGGGGGGTATTTCGCAGGCGACCGTAAAGGCGATGCTCCCCTATTTTTCTCTGGGGAAACGACTCTAGCTAGCGTCTGAGCTGGTGCGAGTAAGCGGATCATGCAGCAACCAATCAGCGGCCGCCCCTAATGCCAGCTGTCGATAGGGGGGGGGATGGGGTTATGTTATGATATGTAATTATTTCTTTATTTTATTTTACTTGTCATACTTTGTTTTGTCTTGTTTGCTATCAGTGTTTTCGTTCTCTTGGTCTGGTTTACTCGTGTAGTGATTTTGGTAATGTTTCTAATGCAACCGAAATAATGGCCTTGGTAATTATTTCCGTTATTAGCGTCACTGTCGCTGTGGTGATGATACTTGTATCGCTAGTATTAGTACCAGTGTCATTTCGATTCTTACGCCTAGCGAAATCGTAATGTTAATAGAGCTCGGTATGACATGGACCCCGCCCCCACCCAACCGTGTGAATGCGTGTGTGCGTGCATGTGCGTATCTTCGTTCGTGTGTGTGCCACCTAGATAGGTACGCCATTGTTCCGCGTGTGTCTCCATTATTTTGCGCAATGTAGAAAATATCTTGTTTCGAGTTGAACATTTCCTCGCGGGGGAGCTGTGCGTCTCGGCCGTGTCCCGGTTGGCGTCGCAAGGCGGAGGGCCCGGCAGAGACCTTGACAGCTGCCGATATGCCAAGGTTTCGAGGGAAAGGTCATTGCAGGAGTCTTTAATATCTTATGAAACTGCCATCGCCACTCGTGCCCTTAGTCAGTCTCTCTCTCTCTCTCTCTCTCTCTCTCTCTCTCTCTCTCTCTCTCTCTCTCTCTCTCTCTCTCTCTCTCTCTCTTCTCTCTCCTCTCTCTCTCTCTCTCTCTCTCTCTCTCTCCTCTCTCTCTCTCTCTCTCTCTCTTCTCTCTCTCTCTCTCTCTCTCTCTCTCTCTCTCTCTCTCTCTCTTCCTCTCCTCCTCTCTCTCACTCTCTCTCTCTCTCTCTCTCTCTCTCTCTCTCTCTCTCTCTCTCTCTCTTCCTCTCCTCTCCCTCCCTCACTCCCTCCCTCTCCCTCCCTCTCCCTCTCTCTCTCTCTCTCTCTCTCTCTCTCTCTCTCTCTCTCTTCCTCACCCTCCCTCACCCTCCCTCCCTCACCTCCCTCCCTCCCTCCCTCCCTCCCTCCCTCCCTCCCTCCCTCCCTCCCTCTCTCTCTCTCTCTCTCTCTCTCTCTCTCTCTCTCTCTCTCTCTCTCTCTCTCTCTCTCTCTCTCTCTCTCTCTCTCTCTCTCTCTCTCTCTCTTCCTCACCCTCCCTCACCCTCCCTCCCTCCCTCCCTCCCTCCCTCTCCCTCCTCCCTCTCTCTCTCCTCTCTCTCTCTCTCTCTCTCTCTCTCTCTCTCTCTCTCTCTCTCTCTCTCTCTCTCTCTCTCCCTCCCTCCCTCTCCTCCCTCCCTCCCTCTCCCTCTCTCTCTCTCTCTCTCTCTCTCTCTCTCTCTCTCTCTCTCTCTCCTCTCTCTCTCTCTCTCTCTCTCTCTCTCTCTCCTCTCTCTCTCTCTCTCTCTCTCTCTCTCTCTCTCTCTCTCTCTCTCTCTCTCTCTCTCTCTCTCTCTCTCTCTCTCTCTCTCTCTCTCTCTCTCTCTCTCTCCTTCTCTCTCTCCCTCCTCCCTCCCTCCCTCCCTCCCCTCCCCTCCCTCCCTCCCTCCCTCCCTCCCTCCCTCCCTCCCTCCCTCCCTCCCTCCCTCCCTCCTCCCTCCCCTCCCTCCTTCTCTCCCTCTCTTCCTTTCTCTCTGCCCCCTCCCATCTCCCCCCTCACACACACACACACACACACACACACACACACACACACACACACACACACACACACACACACACACACACACACACACACACACACACACACACACACACACACACACACACACACACACACACACACACACACACACACACACACACACACACACACACACACACACACACACACACACACACACACACACACACACACACACACACACACACACACACACACACACAACACACACACACACACACACACACACATATATATATATATATATATATATATATATATATATATATATATATATATATATATATATATTTGTATATGTAACTCCTGCAATGACAGGCAGCCTTTCTTGGGCGAGACACGCTGTGCTTCAGAGAAGCCAGCGGACTTATCGCTGACATAGATTGAATTTACATTTCAGGGGCTTCATGTCCCTATAGTTAGGGTAGATTTGATATGCGTGCACTGGTGTTGGGTCATTGAATGGGATTTTTTGACTTGTAGTTAGCATGCGCAGTTAGCCTCTCCAGGGCCAGGTCTTTTGGCGCGCCACGGGTTGCAGTTCGCCGCGGCCCTGGATGGAAGGAGACCCTGAAACCTAATAGAGGGGCGCGTGGAGGGTGCTTCCATTTTTACTTAGGATGATTGATGCCGATCCATTTGGCTCTCTTTGTAGAACGGTAGTACCGTAATTTCGTCAGTACAGGTGATTAAAGGTAATCAAGCAGGGTATGCAGGGTATTCCATGGAATTGCTTTGAAAAGTTTTGGGTTGCCGGAACTGACAGCATTGACATCGATACATTGCATGCCATGTGTACAACGCATTTAAAACGGTTTTAGTAAGCGGAAACTCTAGCTGCGGTACTGGATTGTAAACCTGGGAGAGCATGAAGTATACCAACAAATGCGTAGATATCGAAAAAAACTATGAACATAGGTAAGTTGACCCTGAACTGTACGCAGACAGACTCATTGCAAGGGGTCAGCCCCTATAACCCTCTTTGCAGGGAGGTTATACCGAGGTTTTATGAGAGCCCATAATTAAGAGCTGGGACTGATTCCCATCACACGATAAACCGCCACGGGGACTACAAGCTCTACAGAATCTTGTCAGATTATACGGGATTTTATCTGGATAATTCCCGTATTTCATCCATTGTTCTTCAGTAAATAAGACGCAATTGACAATTCTTTGCACATACGATGGATACCGTAGGGGCCAGCAGGAGGAGGAAAAGGCAGCCTCACGTCGTCTCAGTGGAAAAACGCAATCTCTTTCTACCTCCTATTTATTTAGTTATCAAATGCATTTATTTGTTTATTAACTTATTTACTTGTTCATTTCATTTTGCGGATATGTGTGTAGACTGATTAACTACGGGTATTCTCATGACCACTCGAGACTAGCCGCAAGTCAAAGGTTAACGTTCTTGCTCTTCCAACAGACGGACAGGAGCTGGGCGGGACGGGCCGCCAGCACCAGCTGCACCTCAACGTAACTGAAGTAGGCACGGACCGCAGCGCCCACACGGGCGGACAGTCGCTGCAGCTGTTCGGGCCGAACATCCAGGCGCGCCATTGCGTCATCGCCCACACGGAGGGCATCGTCACGGTCACGCCCTGCTCCAGGGACGCCGACACCTTCGTCAACGGGCAGCGCATTTACGAGACCACCATTCTGCAGGTGAGAAATCTGATGAAAGCTGTAGGTTTCCTTTGCTGCTTTGCATTTTGTAAGGTTATACGAATTCAATAGCGTTATCATCAATCTGGTTTTTGATAAGATTCAATGGAAATCATTATTTTGCAAGTGATGTTTGTTATTAACTTTATTATCAGTGGTATTATAAACATGTTAGGCTTATTGCGGTGTGTTCCTCATCCCTTTTGCTTTCCTACCCCATCTAGCACGGCTGCATTGTGAGGTTCGGTCGTATTCACAACTTCCGGTTCATTGACCCTCAGCAGGATGACAGGATGCGCCAACATCATCTCATGGACAGGTACAGAAAGTCTCCTCTCTGAGGGCTAGTTTGGTTGCTAGTGTTCTCAGGCAGTGTCCTCTGTTTCCCTCCCTTCACCTGGCTATTGTAATTGCTAATCTCATAGAAATTATAGATGGATGACACTGCTCTGAGACAGGCATTGAGGTCTGGGCATTTCACTATAAAACTGTAAAATAATTATTCTAAGGTGTTTGTACTTCCACCTAATTACATACTGTAATGTTATTTAATATTCTGTAGTATGGTATTTGGATGTCCAACTATCATCCTGCTGCTAAAGATAATTTGTATGTAAATAG